TAAATTTATTTCAAACATGTTTCTACTTTGATCAGTATCTTCACACTCAACCTTTGGCCATGCATAAAACAAAAATGTACTATTCAACTTGGTAAAAAATAATATAGGTTTTGACAGGTTATGTACACTATTTCCACACAAATACAGACAGTCTTTCAAAACAAATGGTCCTAAATGGGCTTTACAAATAATAAAGACTCAATGGGGATTTGTGATTGTGAGTAGGAGAACTTTGACATAATACATTTAATATCTTACAAATAATATATTATTGCTAAGCAAAGTAATACGTAAAACTTTCTACATAAAGCAAAAATTCAAGATTTTCACATACCGTATGGAACACATTGTTCTTTTGTGTAGTCATAATAATAATAATAATCATCTTTCTCATCACAAACACAGATAAACCCTTTGTCTAAAGTTTTACATTTAGTTTCAGGACAAACACTGTCTCCCGTTTCATAACCTTCCTCAGAAAATTTACAATAGTCTTCTATTTCTGAACAGTTTCTTCCTGTAGTTCCATTGACACAAGTGCAGTTATAATTTCCATCACCTGATGAAACACACGTACCACCATTCTTACAGGGATTTTCTTTACATGGATCTTTAAAGATGAATATAACACATTTAGCAATTAAGTACAGCAGTAGTATGTATAATAATATATTGATTAGCTTTTTTTTCTTAATAGTACATTTGCTAATTAAGCACTACAAGTTTATAAAAAATATACTGCAATAAATGTCTTTACTGACAACACACATACTTTCATGACATCAAATGTTAAACAATTTAAATGTTGAGTTACTTCTAACTTTCTGATTTTAATATATCAAAGTCTGTAAAAATATATACTAACCAGTTGAACTAGATGAAAATAAGTTGCTGGATAGAGCATGGCAGTTTTTACATTTACAAAATTTTTATAGAAAGGTTAATAGCTGCTATATGTTTACATTTTTGAAGAAAAAATTGCTAGTATCAAAAAAATGGATAAAACATCATTAAGAATGTAAACAATTACAAAACATAATAAAAATATTTACAGTCAGGAATAAAATTCGGTTGAACAAATATTTTGATATATCTTGGTGTTCCAATTACATCTGATAGTTTAGTTTAGCTGTTTAGTGATACTTTAAAATTCTTTGTCAGACAAGTACATGTACAATAACAAAACAACGATATTATACTTGATATAATTCGTTGTAGTTTGAGAGTTAATAATAAAACATAGCAGTTTAAAGATATTATGCAAATATTCAGTCAATAAAATATATATATTTGTAGGTTTGCAAAAAATCTTTTCTACAGTCTTCATAACATGAGGCATGTCCAACTATGTTAAATAGTTTAAAAGGCACAATTTAGTTTACCTTATTCAGGATTGGATCATTAGTCAATTCCTTAAACATTACAAAGGGTATATCAGGCTTAGAGACTGTGAATTTTGTGTCCTTAGCTATAGATTTTTGAGAGAATATATATAGTTTCAAATCCTATAAACAGCCAAATCTGTGGGGAAATTGGACCTATGGATACTCCCATAGTAACATTAATTGTGGCTTTCCTGCAGGACTGAAGCAAACTGATATAATCTATTACAAGAAGAATATCAATATAACTTAGATCTGGCTAGAGCTAATAATTCAGGCAAACAAACTTATGAAAATTGGAATGGGTAGCATTTTTTAGGGAGACTCTATCCATAACACAGACATAAGAATGAACTATTCTAAAAAATGATGAAACATATGTGTATATGGAACAACTTACTAGCAGAAAACAAGATGCTACAATATCATTACAAAATACATCTATATATATATATATATATATATATTTGAGCTATTT